ACCACCATCAACTAGTTTTCCTATTAATCAAGTGGTTACACAAACCACTGCAGGAGGAACTAGGCCTCCATTTTCCCAAGTTTTACACTTCCCCCTAGTCGTAGGGATTATCTATATGGCATGCCAACTGCAATGATGGCACGCCTACAAACTAACATGTCAATGTATGCAGATAATGCAATGGTTGTTGCATCCTATTTCCATCCATGCATGGCGTCAGGGTCTATTATAAACACTCATGGTCGAATGGGCCAATCCTAGAGAGGATTGGGATACATCGCTCAAGTTATGCCACCTTTAACTAAAAATTCTCTTTTGGATGTAAGACAACAAATGGATGATAATAACCATGATATGGTTAATATGTTTACTCAAAAAATGTGTACATTGTTAAATCCTTTTATCCAAAATACCAATCATAGTTACCATCAGTTAGCACATCAAATGAGTCAAATTGTTGACTTCTTTGGTGCTCCTAAAGCACCCATTCTGCTAGTTCCTAATAATCCAATGCAACAATAAGTTCCACCTCAACCATTTGAACAACCTAGATCCATGGTAGTCAAATATGTGGTGTTGGTAAACAAGAACAAAGATGCAAATAACGTCGTTAGGAGAGTCCAACAAAACAAAAACAATTATGGGGAAAAAGTAACACAACTAATATGGTTGAACAAATTTTAACTCAAAATAGTTTGAATGTTGGTCTTCGTAGGGTAAATTTTGATTATGCATTATCTGAATATGTCTTACAAATTGAACTCCCTAGGGGTTGGAAAATCCCTAAGTTTACTAAATTTATAGGAGACACTGGTGATTCTACAATCAAACATATTGCTCAATATCAGATAGAAGCAGGTGATATAAATAATAATGAAAATTTAAAGATGAAATACTTCTCTAAGTTTTGACCAAGAATGCTTTCACATGGTTCACTACTCTCCCTCCAAACTCCATACATAATTGGAATCAATTAGAGAGAGTGTTTCATGCACAATTTATTATGGGTCAGTAAAAAATTATCCTAAAATAACTAGCCATTGTGAAGCGAAAATAGTCTGAAACAACATATGATTATCTCAATAGGTTCAGATTTATGAAGTCAGTGTGATTTATTCTAGTGCATGAATATGAGATAGTCAAAATGACTGCAGGTGGCTTAGATTATTCTATTAGAAAGAATCTAACAGGGGTTACAGATTGATAAATCAATTACAAGTCATTAAGATATGTCATTATTGGGAACAAATTATTTAAAACGACTCCTGATAGAATCTTGGTAGAATGCCTCAGTGGGAGTGAGGTCTATATGGAAACTTTTGGTGTCCATGGTGGGTCATGTGGAGCTCATCAAGTAGGCCATAAGATGAAATGGATTTTGTTTCGATAAGGTTTGTATTGGCCAACTATATTGAAAGATGGTATTAAATTTGTGAAGGATTGTCAAGAATGTCTTAAGCATGCAGGTATTCAACATGTTCCTGCAAGTGAGTTGAATTATATTACCAAGCCTTGGACATTTAGAGGTTGGGATTTAGATTTAATTGGTGAAATCCAACCTACATCATCAAAGGGCCATAGGAATATTTTGGTTGGTATAAATTATTTTACCAAGTGGGTAGAGGTCGTTCCTTTGATCAATATCGATCAGGAAGTAGTGATTAATTTTGTTTAAAATTACATTATCTATAGGCTTAGAGTTCCTGAAACTTTAAGCTTTCTTCAAACTCGGGAATCAAACTTTTAACTTCTACTCCTTATTATGCTCAAGTAAATGGTCAAGTCGAAGCAACTAACAAAATTATAATTGGCCTGATTAAAAAGCATGTCGGTAAAAACGCAGGGAATTGGCATAATAATTCAGACTAAATATTATAGGTTTGTCTAAATTCCCCTAAAGAGGCAACTAATTCTACGCCATTTCGACTAACATTTGTTCATGATGCCAGTTTTGCCTGTCAAAATTTATTTACAGTCAACTAAAATTTAAAGACAAGTTAAAATTCCTTATGACTATTATTAGAATATGATGTTAGATGAGTTAATTGATTTAGATGAGTAAATATTAGCTTCCCTGAATGTTCTCATTAGACAAAAAGAACGAATAACTAAGGCATGTAACAAGAAGGTTAAGTCGAAAGACTTTACAATTGGTGATTTGGTGTTTTGGATATTGATCTTCTAGACTAGTCAATGGTTGTTCAGGATCCCGACCTTTTAGACCATTCGATTGTTGTGCAAGATTTTGACCTTCGACAATTTTCTTTGATTTCTCAACAATTGTCTCCCATATTGGATTTTCAGCTATTGGTCATTGTGATGGTAAGTTTGTTATGGAAGGATTAGATGTCAAGACCTTATAAACATTTGAGGCATTGTTTATTGGAGAGGGGATAATAGGAATATGAGTCTCCTATAAAGAAGATTGAAGTGGGACGATATTATAATCTATTTGATGTAAATTGAAAAGAAGGTACGGGTGAAACTCAAAGTATCTTGGGTTTCCTGTGGATGGGGCTTGAATCTTCACTCTCTAAACATTCTTCGGGAGTAAGTTGTCTTTGTCGATTTTTTTATTTCAAGTTCGTTGATTAACTTTCTCTTCTTCATCGTCAATATTAAGAGCTTATCTTATTTTTTGTCTCTCTCGTGGACTAGCCTGATGAGCTCGAAATTTCTTCTTTTTGGCTTTTTGAAGTATTCTAACTTCGTCCTGCCAGCTGCTCCAATATTTTGGAGAGATGAGTTGAGTGGAAATCTCCTCACTTTCATCACTACCATCATTCTCTTCGCATTTATTTTCCTTCTCTTTGATCAGATTGAAACATTTACGACTGTCAGTATAATATTTAATTTAAAGAGATAAAAAATGTTAATAGAGGTCGAAGTTTAGTCTAAACTCGGGTTCTTTCACTGTCAAGAGTGACAAGTAGTTTTTCCTTCGTTGTCTTTTTTTGACTTGGAGTAGTAATGGAGCTAATTACTCTTTTTGGATTCTGAAAAACAAGGAAAAAGATAAATAAAGAGTAAATAAAATTTGGACATAAAGGAAAATAAACGTTTTGAAAATACACTTGTGTTGTCTCTTTTGATCGCTTAAGCATTGAGCTAGATTATTCACTTCCTTCAGTTGATTCAAGCTTCTTCTTTTTCAACACTTTTAGAGGATTGGGAGCTAGCTACAAAATTTTGATACATATATATAATATGAACACAAAAGAAAAGTTAATGAGTTTTGAGAGTCTCTGTATCTGACCTTCTAGAATGGTGGATCTGACTCGAACCTGTTCGAGATTGAATCCCAGAGGCCATGGATAATTGTGTATATAATTCTTTGTCTAAATCACACTCTAAGTAGGCTTTTTCAATTCATTGTTTAGGGCTGACAAAGACCCACAAAAATACCATTTTAAAAGTGGCAACGAGAAAGCTAGGCCAAATTCTCAAATTGGTAATGGTGGAAATTTGGGAAGATGGAATTCCAAAGCAAACTCACTTATCTTTTACGTAACAAGAAAAAATAAGTTTTGAAATTTTTTTCAACAACTTTATGTTCTTAAGGTTCATAAGAGAGGATAACATTGTGAAGCGGAAGAAGAAGCAAAAAAGAGGTTATATATAGTTGTTAAAGTAAGGTCATTCAATTTTCTCTTTGAAGTTAAAACTCACTAACGTGTTAGTTTTTGTTTTATTAAATCATTAGTAATTAATGATTCTGTCTTTTTATTTAATATGGTTAAGTTTTATGGTCCAGTGACTTTGAAAATCTGCGTAATGATGGTAGGTGCCTGCACGTTGTAGACGTGGTGGTTGAGTGAAATCAAGCATCATGACAGTGAACGAATGAAGTCATGATGACAGTGATGTATGCATAATGACTTGAATAGTGTCATGAATTCGACTAAAAACACCATCTTTCTGTCATATTGTAGACATGATAGAAAAATGATCTTTTTGAGGGGCACCTGTTAGCCTGAGAATTTTAGCTTAGTGTTTCGACATGAAGGTGTGATATAAAAGTATGAAAATACTGAGTGTAAGATGATGAAGCTACAATTTTGACATATTAATCGCTTCGACTCGCCTATAAGGTGTGATGAGTTCGACCTGCCTACCATGTGTTTTGGGACTTAGTATATTCTTGAATCCACAGATTAGATGACTTATAAACATTTGACAACAGTGGCAGTTTGAAGTCGTTCAAAGTTCTAAAGACACGTGGAAGCAAATTAGAAGATAAAAGCCCACGTTACAAGATACGTGTCGAATTCTGAAGAAATAACGATTGTTAACAGTTACTAATGTACTTAGTATATAAGTAGATTTCCTTTTCTGAAATAGGGCTTGAATTTTCATTCTTTTTTCTTTAGAATTCACACATCTGAGTCACAGAAATAAAAAATTTGTGAGAAATGTTTGAACTTGTATCCCACTTTTAAATTAAGCATTTTTATCCGATTATTTTATCACTTTTCTTTATTTCCTTTATCCTTTTTTCTACTTATGCATATACTTCTTTGAACTTTTATTCAATTGCTTTAAATTCAAACATATAACCCTTTGGCATTAATACGTTTTCCCAAACATTTCAAAAAAAAATATCCTTTCAGATTTTTCGAGTTTGATCCGGAAAGTGAACTGAAATTCATGATTTATTTACTAAAAACACCAATAAACATCTCCACACCCCGAATTATCTAACTATTATAATTTTCACAAATATGAGATATACTCAACAATACCCATAATATTTTTCACAATATAAATCATACTCAACAATATCAATAATAATTTCTACAATATAAATCATACTCAACAAATATAACGAAATATTCACAGTGCTATACTAAGATGTATCCTGAGCAAAATAAAATTCTTTTGATACAATGGTATATTTAAGAGAATGACATCTTTCAACAAATGTTCTTTTATATGCAGTGATTAAGAATTGAGTTCATTACCACATTTAGTCAGAGTTCTAATTCTCTGCCAATTTCACATTATATTTGTCTCAAATCAACTATTTGACATCTTAGAGAACTAACATCAATTTGATCATTGACAACTCTAGCAGCACCCCATGGTTCCTTCCTTCCCCAAAAGCTTCCAAATCCAAACTCACCCTTATCACAAAGTTCCTCCATCACTTTCTCAACTTCAATTATACAACCACCACAATTGTGCACATCATCATCTTTTAGTTCCACATCTTCTTGAAATCTAAATGACTTTTCATGAATTCTTAAAATAGCATCTTTATAAGATCCCATTCCTCTTTGCACCCCCTTCCTTTGGCAAAATATCCTCTTACCATATTCTCTTGTTTTTCTCACCATCTTTCTCAACAAAAGCACAATAATTTGCAGCATCAAGCACTGGCAGCAGCATGATATGACGACACAATCAGCCGCAAGCATGTTCAAATCTTCCATGGTTGTAAAGAGAGGAGAAGATGGTGGGGGTGTTGGAAGTAATTATTAAAAGAAGGCATGCCTTGTTTAAAGAGTAGGTTCCTTTAATTTCTTTCCCCTATTCCTTGGTCTTGGTAAGGAAGAAGCAATAACAATAATATGATGAGGAAAAGCTAAGATATCTTTGCCTTCATAAATTATTTGGTTGTGGCCTAAACGCAAACTATAGCTTCTAATAAGGGTTATGACATATAAAAGAATATTTTAAGTGAAGATTACAATCATTGTAAGGTATATGTATGTCTCAATAATGATTAGTTAGATGATTGTAACTTGTGAAGTAGGGCTCTAATTTTTTAGTAGAAGATTTCTTATTCTTTCACAGGAGTTTCATAAGAAAATTGAATAGTCACGGTTTTCACGCAGTCACACAATCAAGATTTTATTAATCGTTCGATTTTGATCTGATAATTAGAAAATGTAGAATTTTATAATGTCAAAAATAATAAATTTAAATAAAGTTGTCTGATTAACATCAAACAGTTCTTACTACTTAATTGTCTGACTGAGTATTTTTTCGACGACAGAAAATCATAATCCTTTCGTAAGATTTTCTAACTCTTGTGTTGAATCCATCAAACTACTAAATCAGATTATCATTCGTTTTTTAATAACAAAATAGTTGTGACATTATTTTACAAGAACACTTGATAGAATATTTCTTCAACTAAAAAATTATGAATTTATACAGGGAAGATATTAGGTATAAACCTTATATGAGTTTAGAATGTATACATCTCAAGAGAAAAGGAGATAAATAAAGTGATGTTATAAGCACAGTAAATTGTTGATGCGATATGAAGAGAAATGAATATAAAATGAGATGTTGGATGACTTTATGAAAATTAGAGTGTAAAAATAACCTTACCCATTTTTTTAAATTAACAAATTAGTAATGAACTGATTGCGAGAATATTAGAAAAGTACGTGTAAGTGTAATATATCTTTAAAAATTTTAAGAATAGAATATGTTTTTGGTCTTTATAAATTATTAAATTTTATTTTTGGTTTCTATAAAATAATTGATATATTTTAGTCTTTACAAAATTATTATATACGTAATTTTAGTTATTGTTGTTAAATTAATGTGTATTTTTAAATGATTATTTTGTAAATATATTTAGAACGTTGTAAAAAATTTCAAAAATTGATTTATAAGTCGAGATTTCTATTACTTTTATCAATATTTTTTGAAATTTAAAAAATTTATATTTAATGCTTCGTATTTTAAAAAATTCTAAAATTTGATAAATATATATTTTATAATATTTTAAATACTTATAAAAAAAATTATTTAAAAATTTAAAATTTTAAGAATAATTAAACCGTTTTCACAATTTTAAAAAATAAAAGGATTAAAACTACATGAATAAAACTTTGTAAAGACTAAAATATATTATTTTTCTAATAAGAACTTAAAATGAAATTTAAATATTTAATCTAAATTCTAAATTATATCTTTTATTTTTATTTTTATTTTGTAAAAAAAAATAGAAAAAAATAAGCATTAAATAGGTTGACATCTCAAACTTGTCACATTCAACTTTAACATATATTAATAGAAAAATTAAATATATAACTTGGAGGACTAAACCAAAACTCAAGAATAAAAAATAAGGGAAAATGTTAATCAGAACACTCTTTAAGATTTTAAAATAATAAATTATTTTTAAAAATATATGTAATTAATATTTTAGAAATTGAAATAGTTAAATTTTTTATAAATATTTTTTTTAATGTTTAAAGAGTGTCCTGAAGATATTGATTAGCAAAATCCAAAAAAATTAATTGATTTGAAAAAAAATCTGAGATGTACAACTCATTGTCATTGACATAAAACTAGATTAAAAAAAAAAGTAAAGCATAACAATTAAGAAATTTTCTATTTTGATAGTCAAAAATATATTTCTAATAAAAATATAGATAACATTATTTATAAATAATGATGTTCCATCAATGATAGAATGTCAAAGATAGTTCTAAATTTGTTAACATGTCAACACATTTGTTTTCTTTCCTATATATGAGATACTATAACACAATTTTTTTCTCTTCTATTTTTTAAGCTCCAACACGCAATGTTATGGTTTTTGAAACTCATATTAGCTAGCTAATTTTATCCAGATTAGTAGTGATACTAAGATTTTGAGTAAAATTATTTAAAATTAACAGTAAAGCCATCTTTATTTTTACTTAAAAACACAAACCATGAAAGACACTAAATTGATATACTACTACTCTTCCCCTTCGCCTTTCCAGCAATTCAGAGTTGAAACAGGTGAACCACAACGAGAAATCTTCATGAACTTCTGGAAGACTACACAGCCACCTCGTCCAAGTTCCTGGTAACACCTCTCTTCGCGACAGTATCCCTTAACATTCACCAAACAGTTTTGCGCAAATGAAATGCTTTCAACCTCGACGTGCAAAGCAATCAGAAACTTATTTGGTTGGAAGCATGTCAGCACTCTCTCAACCAATTGATTCAGATTCATCACCTCCAAATTATACCCGCATGTCTCAAAGCTGGCGTAACTGAAGCCATCTTCAGGAGTAACATGAATTGTAGAAACAGCATCTCCTTCTACAGAATTCATTGAATATCCACACGGCTCAAAATCAAAATCACATATCTGAGAATCTGGAAGAATGTTTCTAATACCAGAATTTTCACTCATCAGGGCTGCTGAACTAGATTGTTCTTTATAGAAAACAGATGCTTTCTCTCGGTTTAAACCGGTCATGCACATCTCGAGAGTGTACACAGAGTCAATTAACCTCGCAGACTCTTCAGCAGCAGAGTAAACATGCCATTTCTGCGTGCTGTCTGAACCACCCATAACATAAGCCGTACTTCCCGATCCAAGCTTCCCAAAGTAGCTATCAAGGACTGCTACTTCCTCAGAGAAGCTGCGATGAGGAAATGACTGAGCACTTGGAAAAGTGAAACTTCCCCGGGTGTATCTCACTGATCTAACACCAAGGGAAAGTTCCTCGGATAATTTCAATATAGAAGGAATCGAAAGCAGCAATTTGGTAGTACCACATGTTTTGATTATGATCTTGTATGGATAAACAAAAAGGCTGGACTCAGAGAGAACATAAGAGTCAACCTTTTCATTTGTTAGTGAGGAAACAATGGTGCATTCTGCAGGTCCTAGAATCTCATCTAACTGAAATTTTGTTAAAGACCTAAGACACTTTCCTTCAGGGTCCACAAATATCCCGGGTTCGAAAAACGATATCTCTAGCCTCTTTTCAAATCCTTCAAAACCAATTGCAGAAACCTCCATTATCAATCCGAACACCACCAGAAGCCGAAAACAGAGAACAATTGATAAGCCTAATGAAAATAAAAACAGTGTTCCACGCAAAGTATATCGGGTTCAGGACGGCTTCCTTGAGAACTGCATAAAATTAGAAATTACGTGTATTAGCAGATGCTACTAGAACAAATCAAGAGTAAATATAACTTACGTTGGAGTAAGCAGCTGATCTGAACTTCTTGATTCCACCGTTAGGACGAACGTATTCAATAGTGTAGCCGAGGGGAGCTTCGTAGAACAATGAATTACTACTACTGGATTCCTTCTTACTTGTTTTGGATTCCATCAGATCATTCACACCTGCTTCAAAACACCCAATACACAACTTACTTATAATCACTTCTATTTCATGAATTACATATAATCACTTTTATTAAAATATAGGCAAAGTCATATCAAAATAAAAAGAGGAATCAAGAAAACGAACCTGAATTGATACAATTTGAGGAAGAAGACAAGAAACAGCTTTAAGTGTAAGCGATTATAATTGGAACAGAAAATAGAGTGCTCACTTACGAAGACGAGAATAGAGAAAATGAAAAGCGGGGGAAGAGTATCAAAGAGATAACAATGTGTTGTGTTTTGTTGCTTAGTTCAGATGGAAATCAAGACTATTTATAGACCTTCTCTTCCAAGGAAACTTACCCATTATTTTTTTAATAAATAAATATATAAAAGTTAGTTTTTGGTTTTCGATTGAAATTTAAGTCAGTTAAAATATAAAACTTTGTATTTCTATAAAGAAAAATATTAATTTTTATAATAAAGATGCTTAAAGGTTAAAAGTAATGATAAAAGAATTGATAGAATAAAGAGTAGGAAAAAAAAATCAATAAAAAAGGATATTAACGAATCATATTCTTTGATGTGATTGGGATAGCAAAAAAAAAATGTTTATATCCTCTTAATTTATTATATTTTTTGTTTGAAATTTAACCAACAAAACATCAAAATTATTTTGTTATAAAATATTATTATGTTGAATTTTTTTAACTAATGGTTAAATAACTTATATGTGATTTTATTGGTTCAACAAATATAATGACACTTTGGTGATGTCATACGAAATCAAATGAAAAAAAAGTTTGAAACAAATCATATAGCGAGAAGTTTTCGACGATTGTTGCAAAAGAATCAAATGTTAAAAAATGTCATTAAAGAAACAATGCCATTTGCTCAATGGTAGATCTTATAAGGGACAGGTAGGATCTTAGTAGCCCTACCTTCTGAATCACATTGTACAGGCGTCAAGCGCATATTGAGATACCTCAATGGAATAATCACTCATGGACTATATCTTGTACCTGCTATAACATGTCATAAGTTCTCTCTCAAGGTTTATAACAATTCTAATTGGCTCAGTGATCCTGAGGATCAGTGTTACATCTCTGGTTCATGCATTTATCTTGGGCTCAACCTTGTGTCATGGATCTCGAAGATGCAGAGTCTCGTTGCACATTCCAACACTGTAGCGAATTATCGAGCACTTACACACACCACATCAGAACTTTTGTGGATATAATTGTTATTAATTGAGCTCTCAATTTCGTTTCTTCCACCAACCTTGTTATGTGATAACCTAAGTGTGGTGTTGTTTTCTCACAATTCAATCCTCCATTCGAGAATCAAGCATATTGAATTGGATATCCACTTTGTCCATGGAAGAGTCATTGCAAAGAAACTAAAGATCTGGTATGTTCCAAGCAGTGCGCAGGTTACAGATACATTTACAAAGCCTCTTGGCACTTCAACGAAAAATGGGGGGTGGGGATATTAAGAGTAGACTACGTATAGGATGTAAAAGTAAGCAAGTCATGTAAGGGCATTATGAAAAACATGCATTGAGTAGGTTGTGTAACATGTAGAAGAAGCTAGCTATGTTATAGCATCATGATGCACATATGCATAGCTATGTAGATTATGAACCATCATCATCGTGTAAGTTATATATATATATATATATATATATATATATATATATATATATATATATATATATATATATATATATATATATATATATATATATATATATATATATATATATATATATATATATATATATATATATATATATATATATATATATATATATATATATATATATATATATATATATATATATATATATATATATATATATATAGGACATATTATATGAGAATATGAGAATGAATCGGCACCGTTATAATTTAAAATAAATGGATGAGATTTAAACATCACTCAAGTGAATTATGTGTCATATTTATTCTCATATTTAAAAGAATGCTACACACCGTAAATGATTCACTCAAATCTATTATAGAGTATCGTTGATATGCATCAACAACGGAGATGAACATGAGAGACACACTCATATGTGGTGCTTTAGAATGGATGTCCACCTGAACGTTAGTAAGTGAAGAGTTTTGACAAGGTTGGATTGTTGTATTAAATCGATTTTATTGAGCTTGTCTAACTCGGAACATGTATAAATCCAAACATATACAATTGTTAAAAATCAACCCTTGTCATATCTCTACTTTTCAATCCATGGTAAAAAACTAGAGAGAACAAATAACAATAAAGAGAAAAGAATATAATGTTAGAATTAATTTAATAATTAGTCTATACAAGGCATGTTCAAATATAAACATTAAAATTGTAATCATAATTTAAGGCGGGAGAAAAATAAATGCATGAGCATGCATAAACACGACTTTAGGATCTACGACACATTTATCTATTAAGGATTATAAGAATACCTGAATGGATCCAAGCAGAAAGCTTTCTAGAGAATTATAACGGTAATCATGAAACACAAAAGTGTAGAGGCAAGTGACTAATACTTGTTGACTTGTGGATTTTCCTGAATCGATATTTATAATGCCTTTAATACTCTTCAAATGGAAAGAAGAGATAATATGTTTGTTGTACGGTATATTGGGAACCATAGCCTATATATAAGGTGATGGTCAATTAGGATTCTCATTATTCATAAATGAGTCATCCTACATCCACTCATATTTAAGCTTGTATCCAACTTATAAGTTAATTAATTACTAAATAGATATCTAATTGGCCTTTTTAACGTTATTTGATCACTTAATTAATTAAGGCTCTTAATTTCATAAATAACTAATATAATTAATATAAATATAGATGCCCACATGATAATTATTAGAATATAATAATTAAATATAAGATATTTCAATAATCTCCCACTTGGGCAATATATCTTTAATAATTATATCACAATTATTTATGTGCACATCTAAATGTAATTTATCTTTAGATTTCAACTTTACAATCTGGTCCACCTCATACATCAATAATGGAACCACTGCGGCTACCGTTACTGACATATAATGTGACGGAACTCCGACGACCACCACATCAATGTGCTTGATGACATAGATTGATATGGACGAGTAGCATAAAAATTTCATGTAATATGATCTATGATTACCAACTGAAGTCTTTATTGATATCAAACTGAAGTTTGCAAATTCAATATTTGCACAAACGATACAAAAATTGTTACAACAATAGTAACCTCGTAAGTTTTATTTCTGCAGATAATATTAACATAAAGTCTGTATCAATATCAAAATAATATTATAAAACATAAAAAAAAGAGTGAATCTCATTAATCTAATACATCCTAAGTTACAACAATCATATGAAAGACTTTATATGTTAAGTCTTTGATTAGTGAATCTTTAATTTAAATTATATATATATATATATATATATATATATATATATATATATATATATATATATATATATATATATATATATATATATATATATATATATATATATATATATATATATATATATATATATATATATATATATATATATATATATATATATTGAACAATAATAACTTATAAGTCAGTGGATTTTTTAAAATCTATTGTTGAAACACTATATGACTGGCTATAATACAATATAACTTAAGTTGTCTTTCAAAGCCTTATATTGAATTGTAACTGAATGACATAAATGCATATCTTTATTTATTTTGTATTAGAATATCTATTTGACATCTAAAATATCAGAGTCGAACATACTAATAATCTCCCCATTATCAGACCGCAAAGACTTTTTTGTTATCTATAATAATCCTCATGGCTGCCCTTTTTTTTCTTCTTCAACAATTCAATTATTTTATAACTTCAATAATTCAATATTGATTTGTTCAAGTGTATATATTTGTCATATACATATAAAAAAATCATGTATAAAATTCTTACAACAAAAATATAGGAATGTACTCAAAGTTTAAAGTTTACAAATTTACTTTAAGATAATTATAATTGAGACCTAATAGTCTCACTTAGTAATTGAAATACCTCAAATATTATTCTATTTCGTGTTGAATTTACTTTCAACCTTATTGATAAAACTCTTTTGTTATATCTGAAGGGTACCTTGAAAATAATCTCTAATTACCAAAATAACTTAATACAAAAGAGGTATTCCCAAGATCTTTTATCGCTAAATTTTCATTAGAGACTTCTTAGTTTCATATAATAAACTATATAATTTTCACTTAATACAATAAAATTGACATTTTATATAAAAAACATAAATTTACTCCCAGTTCTTTATAATACCCATAATTTTCCCTCTTATTCATCTCAAAATAGAATGAGACAGCTAACTTTAGAATACTCGTCTTAAAACAAAATAAGACAATAATCTCATAATATTCATCTCAAAACCAAATGAGTCAATTAACATCATAACGTTTATCTCAAAACCAAATGAGATAATTAAACTTACGGGACTATGTGGTATCGCTAAAGAGATATCTTTATTAATTCATAAATGAATTTTGTTAACTTACAAACCATATACTTTTTTTGTCTATTGACATGGAGTTTCCCATGACGACACTGTTGAAATATTAAATTAGATTAGATTAGATTTGATTAGATTTAATATTTAAATATAATCTAAGTTGTGTTATCCCA